CCATTGTTGCAGGCCCAACGTAGGGCAATGGGCAGAGCGCCGGACCACAGAGCAGGAGAGCCAGGACCGAGACCTGGCACGGGCAGCGAGAAAACCACGGACAAAAAAATTCATCAAAATATGTTTTTGTTATTTACACATTCAATGTCATTGATATATTAACCCACTAGGGGGCACTGTCGGGACAGTCTGAAGCCATTCTACGCTAGTCGGCGCAGTCGGGACAGTCGGAAGCCATTCTATGGGACTGATAACCGCTAATAACTTCCATTTAATGGACTGATAACATCAGAACCCACTGGTTTTATCCAATCAGAGTAGAGTAGGGCGGGTCGTTCTTTCTGAGCCCAGGTGAAAGCACCACAGCTCCTCCTGTCCTCACCAAGCATCTGGACATGTTCACATCCCCTCCTCCCAAACTGAGCTGCTGAACCTCCCAGGAAGTAATTACATCTCCATGTATTGTAGATATGAATGTAGGGTATACATTAAATCCACTTTCTTTCATTGATTCCCAGTTTTTCATTGAATTTACATAATATTAAAACTGTTTATTGGTAACATTCTGTGGTAGCAGTAGGTAATTGCCATCGCGCGTGGTTCTTGAATTTGAGGAAATTGGTACTGGAAAGTCCTTGAAAGGTCCTTGAATTTGATGTTGACCAAGGTGTGGGAACCCTGTTAACAATGCAAACATCTAACATCACATCTGTCAAAACTTAGGACACTTCTGGAGATATTAAAGCTGYTAGAGTGAAATTACTGAAACTACAACTAATATATACATATACTGTATACTGTATATATAAATTTTTTCCCCTTTTTCTTAGATGAATATGAGGAAGAGAGCCTGGAACTGGATTTGGGTCAAGTGGGAACTCACGCCTTTGCTCGGATGGAGGGCGATGTGGACAAACAGAGGAAGCTAATCCTTCAGGGTCAGATGTCGGAGGCAGCCATGCAGAAACAACACCAGAGGAAGTAAGAACCCCACCAAACTTTAAAGTAGCTAGAACTGWCTGTCAGAATGTACTAATGGATTCAAAGTTTGAGCCTTTGTGTGCCATGACCTCTGTCATCAGCAACATGTACAATTCTCAAAACACTAACATTAACATTTATGCCTGGATTACCGTACTCAGGGAGGTGTATTTAAACTCAGTGATGGTTGCTGGACAGTTCATACATGGTTAGTCTTACTTCTACCTTTTTATGCACAGTTTATCATTTTGCACTCATGCATGTACTGTTATCGGCAGCTACTCACAAATGTTTGCTGTTTTTAAAAATGTACATGAAATAGTCCACATTAAGACATCTTATCACTCAGTCACAGTGCATTAAAAAACACATCAGGCACAGATTCTAAGCAGTTGCTGACTGCTGCAGCTTGGCACCAGCTCCTGGTGACCCTGAGTGGGACTTTGTGAGCATAAATGAATGGTTGCTTAGATGCACTCACACAYGTTGTGCAGAAAATACAATATACCTGTGGTGTCCAACCCTGTTCTTTGTGAGTCAGTATCCTGCATGTTTTAGTTTACCTATTTCAACACATCTGATTTGAATTGATGAGGGATTAACAGGCTTCTGCAGAACTTGAAGACCTGCTGACGACTGTAGAAACCACTAAAATATGCAGGATAGTGGGCCTCAAGGACCAGGGTTGGCCAACACTGAAATACCAGAGGTGCCAACCGTTACGATCTCACCGTAATCATTATGATATCGAGACCCACTCTGAACCATTAACAGCGTACTAGTCATTTATTACAATCTGGCTCCTGAGACACTCCGCGCTGAGCTCCTGGGAAACCCTTCCCGCTGCAGCATGATACGTCACTGCATGGGATTTTGTCCTGCTGAAGTCCACAATGCGTGGAAAAAAAGACTTGTCACTCAACMTTTATCCACAAATTGGTCCCAGATTAAGCTCCAAAGTTTTTATCAGTCAGATTCCACTGTGAAAAACGTCTGTTTTATGAGTCCCTTTTATGAGTTTTGGCCATTTGACTCTCTTTATAAACTGCTGCTTCCTGGTACAACAGTCAGTTCTGGAAGCAAGTCGCTTTATTTCTTTTTTTTTGTTTGTTTGTTTGAAGCGAGTGGTTGATGCAAAATGCATCATCCGAGCACTTTCAGCACAAACACTCCCACAAACTTCTGACCAATCACACAATACAGTTCTTGTTTTCTTATGTGGAGGGATGTAAAAACGTTTGACCCGCTGGTCATGACAAGAAGTGCCAAAAATGTTGAATATATAATATATGTAATATATATAATGTAGAATATATAATATTGAAGAATCAAGCTATTATTTGTTAATTATCGGGCTCATTGCATGTCTGAGACTGAACAGTCATAAAATAATGGGTTGTACTGTTGTACCATTTGCCAAAAGTGTTAATAAGCCCCATTTTAGAATATTTGTAAGATGAAGTCATTATTTGCTATAACTGAGCTCATTGCATGTCTGCCATTGAAATGTCATATGATAGATGTATGTACTGTTTAGCAAAGTTATGTTCATAAACACCTATTTTATAAGCTCTGTTTTACCACTTGTTACTTATAATCTCTCCATCTAGAAATAAGTAGGTTTGTATAAGTACTTTGAAGTTTAAATATATAAATTCCATATATTTTTTATTATTTGGTTTTATTTGATGATAAATATGCGCACAAACTGCCAATAATGAACGCATGCCATGCGACGCAAATACTCTGAGACAATCATTATGATTTGGCATGGCTCCATGTTGGCACCTCTGATATACTGTAGACTCTCAATATTTCATGTGTATTACAGTGAATGCTGCTTGTGTAAAATATAGAAATAGCAACATAAGTGTCATATTATTTAATAAGATTTAAGCCTGATTTGAATAAAATGGCATTTTAAATTATGCTCCATCTTGAGATTTTCTTTATATTCAGAAATCATTTGAGACACATGTCCCAGACTAATCATAGCAATGATAATTTAATATTGTAAAACTAGTTGTGCAATGATTAAATCATCTAACCTAGGGTGACTGCAAAGGTAGTTATAAAGCAGGCTAAATACTTAATTGCTTAAGAGTATCTTATACTTAATGCATGTTCTCTGTATTTATTATATGCTACATGCTCAGATGTACAGCAGTTTTTCTTTGTTTGATTTCTGCAGCTATAGTCGATGGTTGTGTCGAGCGCGAGCAGAGGATCTATCAGACATCGCTGCCCTGAAGGCTTTATATCAGACTGGTAGGTGTGGTGCACATGATGTAAAATATTTCCAAAAAAGCAAAAGAAAACATAAATAAATTGCGAACAAGTAACACTTTTTCTGACTACTTATTGCACTTTTMCAACATTTTTAGTAGGTTRATATTTTTCTGTTCTGTAACACTYAGTTGTAATGGGACAGTGATGAACTACATGGTTTTCTTCTTGGGGAGAACGTGTGGTGTGGATCCTCAGTAATGGAGCCAATAGCTGCAGTTTAGAAATGTTTTTAATCATCATCTTTTTGTCCTGATTTTCTAATTAGTAACACTAATCACTGCTGTATATGTAAATATTTTGCACGCTCTAAAATTAAGATTTTCTCTCATTTGCCAAAGTCAGCTGAACAAAAATCATAACTAGTTTCCAGCTGGCTGCCGTACATTTTTTTTTTCTTTAGGAAATACACAGTCGCATGGAGATAAATAAATCAGAGGTCAAGTGTTTTGGACTCGGATCTGAGGGCTGAAGAAATCACAGATTAGTTGATTTTTAATTTCATCACAGTGGTTGTTTGTTTTTACCAGAAGGAGGCAGTGTTGTTGTGTGATTTGAATCAAAGCTCCTCTGCATCATGCRAAGTTGAAATGCTGTCAAACAGCTGGAAAGTTCAAATTGATAAACTGATCTTTTTTTTTCTGGTTCAAACCTTATAAATACATAAAAATAATGAGACTACTTTGTTTTTGAGGAAAATGTTGTCCAAAACAAAATTTTCCTCCTGCAGGTTTCTATAYGTAACATTTTAAGCAACAATATTTTAAATGTTAAAGGTTTACATTTAAATAAATGAAATTATATAATAAATATATAATCCAATGTGAGTGTTTTTGGTCTGTTTCTTCTAGTTCTGAAACATGAACAGCAGAACTGTGGTAAAAAAATATTATTCAGTTCCCTGAAAACAGAAACATGTATTCAAATCAGCTTTAACCAAATCTTCTCTCAGAGYGATTTTCTTTGCGTCATAAAATTCAAACAAAAATAAATGTCATAGCTGAATTCACACGGGACTGAGTCAAACTGTTGTCACGCTGACCGATTCTCAGCCTTTTCCAAAGTAAAGTTGTTACAGCTTTTGTCGAACAGATTTATATATGAAAAGGGGAGGAGCTGCAGAAAAATACAGTGGTACAGATGATTGAGCYTCTCATAAAAACAAGCATCAGCCGGCTGCATCCAGACCAGGATGAACTCATTTTATCAGTCAGACCAAAGACAGGAGACAGATACTAATCAAACACACAAGCTCATTTGCTTGATGAATGAAAGAAGCATCCTATAAACTAATGCAATAACACCCACAGCCATGCATGCACTCAGAGTACTGTATGTGTTGTGGATGACTCTCACCTACTACCACACCAAATCTTAGCTCTATGTCTGCAAAAAGGATCGAGTTGTAGCCATTTTTTGTGTTTGGTGAAGTTAATTTGCTGTAACAGCCTTCTTTAATTAGGGTGAGTCCAAAAAGTAATTATTTGTAAATGTCCAGTCTATCTAATTATTTTTTAAAGTTTCATTGAAGTTTTCCCTCTGGTTTGAGATATTTTGCTAACAGACTGCATTATCAAATGCCTTTCCATGCAGCAGCTAGCATCCAAATGTTACTCATGAAAAATGTTTAAAAACAGATTTGCTACAGTAAAATGCACTTTCATGAATATTTGTTCTTGCAGACTCTGTTGGCATCAAACTGCAAAACATAGATAAAAAAAACTCCCCATGACTTTGTTACAATTATTTTAAGCTTTGCTTTATTTAAATGCACAATTTAAAAAAAAGCCGTATTATATTATACATTTCCCCCTCCTTTTCTGTTTTGGTCTTCTTTTTGTCCCATTTGTTTCATATTTTGTTTTCGTGTGGATTGTGTCTTTTTAGACTTAGTAAATATTATTGGAGAAATGCTAGAGAAAAATAAATATAAACTTACATTACGTAAGAATTTTTTAAATGTTGAAACCATAATAA